GGGCATCTCCCTGTGCAGGCCATTGTCCCTTTAGTCCTCCATCCAGCTGTGGACCTCTGCTCCGCCACCACAGGGAGGCCATGGGGCTGATGACCTCCCCATCCTCACACTGAAAGGAACACACGGACTCTCCACACTCCTGCTCAGCTTTTCTTTTGTCTTTATCTTGACTCTATCTTTTCCCTACATGCTTTGGTATTGGGGCAAAATAAAATGCGTAGGTATGATCCTAAATACATACTGGATCTAATTTTAAAGATTTAGGGGCTAAGGCCTCCTACAAAGCCCAGTGTGCTATGTCCCACAACAAGGTTCGACTGGTCCCAGTCTGATCAGCAATGAACTATGCTTTATGCCAGACAAGAAATGGGAGAGAGGGAAGGGGGGAGAACAATGATGGAAATGAGGGCTGGGATGGGGGTGGGGGTGGAAATTATAGCATCAAAGTCACTCCTTTAAGCAACACACATTGAGTGTACACAAGGTCCATCAGAAGGAATGACATACCAAACTGGTAGTATCCACTAACACTTTAGCAAGACTGGTTTCTTTATAGCCTGGGACACAGGCCAGGGGAACACTGACAGAGAAATGATTGGCAGCCTGCAAGGCTGCTTCCTCTAAGGTCAAGACAAAAAGTGCTTCCTCACACATATGAAGGTAAACTAATTAGGTCAGATCATGTGAAATAACAGGCAAATCACTCCCACTATTGGGACTCCAGAGTTCTGGCACCTTCAATTAAAAATATAGTAGAGAGGTGAGCTCTTTTTCGTTTTAATTTTCTTAGCTCAGCACTTTTCCTAGAACTGGTATAAATTTTGCCTTGTACATAGCTCAGTAATTCTATTCAGTAAAACAGGTCTCACCAGAGTACCAGCTAATGCAATGGCCCCTCGGCTATTCCCTCACACCTAATGTGTTTATTATCATAAGTGGAGGGAATGAGATTATAATTGTTGTGCAGATGAAGGACTGTATAAAAGAGTGGCTAAAAATAGTCACTAGCTGTGTAACCTTGGAGAGGTTACTTCACCTCCCTAAGCCTCAGTTTCCTCTTGTGTAAAGTTAGGATATCACAACAGTCTCATCTTTCAAGGGACCTGGGTTTTAAAGTCAACACTTAATGCAATAGTCAATTATACCCAAAATATCCTCCACTGCTGTTTCTATTTTAAGCAAAAGAGCCCATCTTTCCTCCTCTCCTTCCCCCTCCCCTCCGTCCCTCCCTTCCTCCCTTCCTTCCTTCCTTCCCCTCAAAGGTATCAGCATGGTTTGAGGATCTCCCCATCTACTTCATAGACATTTCTCTTTCCTCCCTAATTCTGTCTTCTCACCTGCTTCCTACACGACCTGAGCTGACACAGCATGTAGAATACTGAGCACAGAATGAAAGTTCTGGGAATGTTAGCTGTTACTGTTATAACAATTATGATCTGATTAAACTAATGACTCTACTAACAGAAGAAACTCTTACAGGCACCTTCCCTCATGACAATCTGATTCAAGTGTCCTCAGTAGAATCTTGGGCCTTGCCTACCCTCTATCCAGTTCTCTGCCCTGTGGCAACATTCTAATAAGAAGATCATTTCTGTTTTTCCTAATGCTTCACTGTGCAAAGAGAATTTCAAAACTACAGGAGGATTTGGGGGAAGGGCATTGAGAACTTCAGAATTAGCTGGAAAAAATGGACCTCTGCAGCCCTCATCTTAGCAAGAACAAACACCATAGTCCTTAAAAGCCTTCTTAAAATAAGCTTCAGTGAAAATCATATTTGCTAAACAGAGCCTTTCCAAAGAAGTTCTGTGTCAAGGGCTTATTGTCTACCTAGTATGTGTACTGCTGGTGCACCTGGGCTGTTTATTAGTCTTGGAGCAGGAGATGGTCAAGGCGGCAAGGGAAAGACAGAAGAATCCGAAAACACCCATCAGCCTGCAGCCCTAAGACATGTTTGTTAGAGTATATGAGACCCTTTTCAGTGACATCCCACAAATGCTGTGGAGAATCTGTTAGGATGACAGCTGTAAACTCTATTCTCCTGAGATCTAAGAGACTGGTTTCAATTCAGTGACCACAGACTTCACAGACAAGCTATCAACAATATGATAATGGCTTGTGATAAAGGTGTTATTGATGTTTTGCTTATTATAGCAGAGAAACAACTGGTGACTAATAGCAATTAGGTACTTAATAAAATTGTGTTTTGGAGATGCTGCTACTTAAGAGATTGTCATGGATGGCACAAGACTCAGCAATCAATGGCAATGAAGCCCATGGCTGTTTTTCTATTTGAAAGCACTTCTTCTGTCAAAATAATAACTATGTGACTTTGGCCTCATCTGAAGGAAGGGGAATCAACTTTGATCTGATTACTCAGGTAAAATCCATGAGTATGATGACCACCTAAGCAGACCCTGGTACACTTAGAGGTGAAAAGCAAGACTACGGAGAAGGGAAGAGAGCAAATCCTGGAGAGGGTGACAGGTCTCACCCAATTCAACACCCTAGTCAACAGTGACTAGGGTCTAGGCACTGAGTTCTGTAGTATAATCTGTATGTTGCTTAAAAAACAAACCAAGAGGGAAGAGTCTGTACTCATCACAACTGCAAACCCATCACCTTGGGAGAGAGAGAGACTATATTGAATTACTAGGAAAAAAATGGAGTTGTAATTACCTGTCTCTAATACAAATTACTCTATTGTCATTTACAGTCTTGTTTCCATTACACCAAGTCCATTCTAGATTGATATACCTTCCATAGTAGAAAAAACATTAACTTGAGAATGTGACCAGCCTGGGCCTGAGACATGGTTCTTCCCTAGCTGTGTGATCATGGGTAAGTTACTGCTCTCTCAGAAACTCAGTTTCCTCATCTGGAAAATAGGGATAAGAATAACTACCCATCAGAGTTTTGTGAGATAAAATACCATCATGTATGGAAGATGCCTTAGCATCTTGTCCCAATAGATTATTTAAAATCAATCACAATCTGTCATATAACATGTAACAGATAGATACACAGCTCAGAGAATAAAACTGCTGCCCATATCATCTGCCTTCAGACATAAGAAGAGGGGATTTTTTTCATACTAATTATAGAATCTGACTTTAACATTAAGGAGTCTTGGCAATATCATAAAGAGACCACAAGATGGCTAGGTAACTTCATAATAATAATAGCTAATATCTCATTATTAAGTACTTTATTAAGTTCTGGAAACCATTCTAAGTACTTTATATTGATTATTTCATTTAATACTCAAAACCACTGTATGAAGTAGAAACTATTATTCTCCCATTTTACAGACTAGAAAACTGAAGTGCAGCAAAGTTTAGTAATTTGCAAAAGGTCATGCAACCGGCAAGTGATCAAGGCTAGAACAGATACAGGCAGTCTGATCTCCAACCTTATATTCTAACAACTATACCAAAGGTGGGGCTCCTGGGACTGGAAAAGTTTTATTTATTGACCTAGGAGGTGTTTGTCAGATGGCATTTTATTCACGTGGTTCTCTGATTCAGTTTTATTTTATTAAAAATATTTTTAAGTGATAATATGAGTAGCTAAAATTTTATCACTTGATGCTTAGAGTAAAAAATGAGCCCTATGTTTTTTGCATATCACATTTTATAACCACAGGCACAGAATGAAGTCTCTATAATCTTGTAATAATATTTGTTTCAGTTGTTTATGATAGTGGCTCAGAAGGAAATGCAAATTATATTTTCAATATGTGGCAGGAGGTGCTGTTGTTTTCCAGATTCCATTGGAAAAACATGGGGAAATGATTTAAGGAAAGTTTTTGTTTGGTTGTTCTGAATCCCCACTTTAACTCTGTATTTTTCTCAACATTTGTCTGTTCCTCTCTTCATGTATTTGTCTCTTAAATTCTCTCTCTGCTCTTTTCTTTTTCTTTTTCTCTTTCTCTCCTTTCTCTCATCACTTCTGCTTGGTCCCACTATCCATACTCTTCTAGTCCCTTCTCCCTGTCTCTCTCTCTTTCTCTTATAGACAAGGTAAGGACATTTTTACTGCTTTTATTTATTGAATATTATGATGTGCTGCTTAGCCTTTATTAAAAATGGTTGAATACATTGTGTACAACCTTTCCTCCACTCCAAAAATCATCTCACTGGATTAAGTTTTCATTGACTCAGGTGCCCCTGATTGATTTTTATTTTAGTATCTGAATGTTCCCAGTTAATAAAAAGCTTCTGTGCTTCATGGAAGTTTAGGGTTAAAAGGTTACCAGGTATTATCTAAGAAGGAAATGAGGTATATGTGCATAAATTGCCTGAAGTCATCTGCTTTCTCCTCATATACTTCTTGCTTTTTCTCTCTGCTGCAGACACACAACACAGAAAGCATATTCCAGGGCTGTTTCTTGGCCTATGGCCTACACAGGGCTTATTCTTGATACAGTTAAAGAGATCTACTACAAGGGCATAGACTCAGAGACGTGAGCACTGTATGTAAGGATGAGTCCTCAGAGGCCAAATATAGCTAGAAAGATCATCCCCTAAGCCCAGGATCTTTGGGTCTCATCTCCAGAACTAAGTCATTTTCTTATAAATTTGTATTTGCATTAAATGTGTAAATATGACTCAAAAATTTGATTACTAAGCAGAAAATTATACAAAAAATCCCATTTTTTCTTCTAAAGAGATATTTGCATTGTTTATCTAGTAGCTGTATATGAAGTATTCTTCAGTGAGCAAACAATGTAGTATGCACCATTCTTCCATTCCCCTGCTCCAAATAAGTGCTATGTACTCCAGCCCTCCCCTCATCAACGTGGTTCAGATCAGATTCTCAGAATTCCATGGGGCCCCACCTGCCTCTGGACCTTGGAAATCAAGACTTATCACATCGAGCCATTATAACAATCCAAGTCCCCCATCCTTCACTTCAGGTTATTAGGCTTTCTTTACTCTCTCTGGAAGAGTCCAATCAGTACCTTGGACAGTTCCATGACTCTGCTAGGGAGCAGCATGTACCTGTTGGTTTGTTCTGTAAGGAGGCTGGGGTCCCTCATCCTTGACCTCTCTCTCTAATGCTGAGAACACTATTTCTTCCTCCTCCTCCTCACTCTCTTCAGAATAGGAATCAAACACATCAGCATAATACTCTTCAGCTGCAAGTGGGTCTTCTGGGATCTCTGAAATAAAACATAGACAACAATAGGGTAGTACTAGTCACTGAAATTATAATAAGCCTAGGATTCCTTGTGTTTTTACAGACATGTATATTTTGTTTGCTCTGACGAAGCTTCCATGGAGTGTAGACTGAATTGTAGCTTCCTGAAAGTATCTGGTTGAATGTAATAAACACTCAGCAAAATGAAACCAGTAGAAGAAAGGAGAAACACTTCCATCTGCAAACACCTTTTGAAGGTAGGAAAAAAAAACTATGAAACAAAAAGAAATGAAATACTTTAAATTTTTGACATTTATAGGCATGAATCTTTATTAAAAATGAGGAGATTTAAGAGCAAAAGCAGGACAAGATACCCTGGTGAAGGGCCCTATTACATAACATACATTAGCAAAAATTGAAGAGAAACTGTATCAGCATTTTTCCTATACATTTGTTATCTTAAAAAATGTTAGTGGTAAGACAAGATGAATAGGATATATAGCAATGGCATTTTGGCAAGCTGGGGAAAACATTAAAATTCTTTTCTAATAGGCTAATGAAGGCTTTTACGATAGAGTTCACTCACACCTATAATCAGCATTTATTTTTTTTAAAGCAAAGAATACCTACTTAAACTGATGCCAATAAGCATCTACCCAAGTTACTTGATGCAATATTATCAGTAACTGAAATAAAGTTGGTGCTTATAACAATCTTCAATAAAGACAGGCCAAGAATGGATCACAATAAAGCATAGAAATGTAAGCTCTAATTTGCTAATGGGGGCTTAGAAATAAAGAAATATCCTTAAGTAAGGGGAGAAGAAAATTACATAATACTACTCTGTCACAGCAAAACACTGGGCATTTTAAGGCTTTGTACCACACTCTGACTTAAAAACAAAATTATTCTTCTAAACCATAACACACAGCACTGTTTTTCAGTCCATTGCAGCTATTCTCTATCTAGTGGAAAAAATATGGAATTGGGGGTCAGAGAATCAAAGTTTAAATCAACCTCCACCACCTTGTAGATGAGAATCCGAGCAGTGGACATAAACTTACTGAGCTCCAATTTCTCCAGTAAAATTTGACATAAGTGTAATCTAATAGGGTGGCTACGAAGATTCAATAATATGATTCTGATGAAAGCATCTGTATAGAGGGAAGCTTCATACAAACAGTCACTCAATTTCCCCATCTATAAAAACAGGGTTTTTATTAACTGACTCCAGAATCCTTTGGAAGTAAAACAGATATAGAATTCCTCAGCAATAGAAAACTTTAAAATCTGTTTGTTGCCTATGGTTTCTCACTAAAACACAAGAGTCTGTGGAGTGGAATCAAAATTAGTTCAAAAGACAAAAATTACATATATTCAAAACTGTATCTTCTAATTCCTAAGGAAGCAACATTCTGGGGATCTCGTACTTTCAACAATTTCAAAACAGCCTTCTTCCCCTTCAGATCACTGATTTTCAGTTGAGCACCAGATGACTTGTATGTAGGAGCCATGCTTAATAAAAATCTTTATTCAACTCACACTCAGAATGACAAGAGGATCACAGCATGAGAAGCATATGAAAACTACAACCCACTGAGAGCTCCAGTTTTGCTGCCAAGTCGGGGCATATGCTTCTGAGTGGAACGGTGGACAGAGCCACGTGACTTCCACATGACATCTTCCTTCTCTTCTTTCCCCTCCATCTCTCCTTGAATTTCTGTGTCTCTTTCTTGGAGTTATCCATTTTCTCTCTCCCCCCACTCCTTTTTACTTCCTCTCCCTCTCCCTGAATCCGTCTCTTTGACAGTTTATTCATTCATTCATTCATTCATATTTTCTCCCTCTCGCGCTCCCTTTTTTTTCCTCTTCATGCCTCTGCCACCCCCTTTGCTTTCAAACTTGACTATGACACAGTAGGAAGTACGGCTTACACTATTGCCCAGTGTACAGAAATGCACTTACATACAGATGTACATAAATATGTTTATAGTTGAAGCAAAACTTCCATGCATAAAGACCTACTCACCCAAACTACATGTGACACTTTCTGGTATTTTCCATTCTATTCAGTTTTTTCTAAAATGCTGGCTGCAACTTACTAAACTGACTTTTCAACCAACAGTTTGAAACACTGGTTTAGAATGCTGGCTTTGGCATCAAAAAGACATATATTTAAATCAAGACTCTAGCAACAGCTGTGTAACATTGGACATTATTTAAACTTTTTGCATTTGTTTTCTCATCTATAAAACAAGGATGATAATATCTGTCTCATAGAATTGTTATGAACATTGAATTGTATACTGGATGCAAAGCAATGTCCTATGCACATGGTATGTACCTAATAAATGATGATTACTATTGGAAGTAGTAGGGCAAACACTGTAGTTTTGCCTGTAATACTCATCACCAGGAAGAAATATAAATACAGTCATGAGTCACTTAATGAGGATATGTTCTGAGAAATGCTTTGTTAGGGGACTTTGTCTTTGTGTGAACATCACAGTGTTCTTACACAAACCAAGATGGTATAGTCTACTACGCACTCCACACCCAGACAACATGGTATAGGCTATTGCTCCTAGGCTACAAACCCATACATGTTACATAGTGAATCCTGCAGGCAATTGCAACGCAATGGTGGGTACTTGAGTATCTAAATATATCTAAAAATAGAAAAGGTACAGTAAAAAATATGGCATAAAAATGGTACATCTGTACATGGCACTTATCATGAATGGAACCTGTAGGAATGGAAGTTGCTCAAGTGAGTCAGTGAGTGAGTGAGTGGTGAGTGAATGTGAAGGCCTAGGATGTCACTGTATACTACTATAGACTTATAAACACTGTACACTTAGGCTATACTAAATAAATAAAAAAAATCTTTCTTCAGTAATAAATTAACCTTAGCTTACTGTAACTTTTTTACTTTATAAACTTTTTAACTGTTTTTAGCTTTTTGATTTTTTTGGAATAACACTTAGCTTAAAACACAAACACACTGTACAGAGGTACAAAAATATTTTCTTTCTTTATATCCTTATTCTATAAGCTTTTTTCTATTTAAATTTTTTTTTCTTTTTAAACTTTTCCCTTAAAATAAGACAAAAACATACACATTAGCCTAGGCTTCTAGGTTCAGAATCAATATCACTGTCTTCCACCTCTATATCTTATCCCACTGGAAGGTCTTCATGGGTAATAACAGGCATGGAGCTGTTATGCCCCATGATAACAATGCCTTCTTCTGGAATACTCCTAAAGGACCTGCCCGAGGCTGTTTTACAGTTAACTTTTTTTTGTAAGTTCACAAGGATTATACTCTAAAATAACAATAAAAAGTATAGTATAGTAAATACATAAACCAGTAACACAGTCATTTATTATCAAGTATTACATACTGTATGTAATTGTATATATTAGACTTCTATATGACTGGCAGTGCAGTAGGTCTGCTTATGCTGTATCACCACAAACTTGTAATGTGTTGCTCTACGACATTATGACAGCTAAGATCACTAGGCAATAGGAATTTTTCAGTTTCATTATCTTATGGGACCACTGTCCTAACCAAAATGTTGTTATGCAGTCATGACTGCATTAGACAACTGCAAATATATACCAAGTTCAAAATATTTCTGTATTTAAATAGAATCACTTCTCAAAAATCCATACTGAACCCAACTAAAACTGGTAATAAGGAATCATGCCTCTCTCTTTCCGGTTTCGTTTCTGTTCACACCACAGGGACCCTTGGGCATCTTACCACTCTGTTCTCCTCCTATTCCTCCTGTCCACTGGTTCCATCTAGGTTCCCTTCAAGCAGCTCAGGAGAAACCTCTACAATGGATGTTGAAAAACATGTTCTGTAAAGGGCTAGACAGTAAAAATTCTAGGCTTTGCAGATTATATGGTCTTTGTCACAACCACACAATTTTTCCTTCGTAGTGTGTAAACAGACAGATAATACATAAGTGAATGAGTGTGGCTGTGTTCCAATAAAATTTTATTTATAAACACAGGCAGTGGGCGAAGTCATATCTCTACAACAAAGATAAATCTTTCTCTTGATAGACTACTAAACTCCTCTTCCTATAACATGGCTCATTGCGCACAGAGAGTTTTAGTCCCTTTCTCTCTTCTACCTAGAATCCCCACCTAGGAAGGGGAGGAAGGAAAGAAATGGTCAGGGGGAAAGTGCCATTCCTGGAAACACACTGGGATGAATCTGTCTCCATTATTTCTTATCTAAGCACCACTGACTTGGTGCTGCTCACAAAAGGACTCATTTTCAAAGGAAAAAGTCAAAACAAATATAAGTCTGCTTAAACTGTGTTTGTCGAGATGCATGTTTTTCATATATAGACCCAATTTGAAGCCTTGTTAGGCTAAGGCTCATTTCTCCTGTCACTAGGGGAAACTGGTCTGTGATAAATAGTTTTAATTTCCTCATACCCTGAAGTCAGCCTCATAACAGACGCACTGGAGTGGCATTCCAGATCTCCTCTGTGCTGGGCAGGCAGTGACAGCGTGTGTTTATGAAGGCATCCAGTAACGGCTGCCCGAGATTGGACACAGATGTTTCAAGTCCATGCTGAAGAAAAAGACAAGCAATAACTCTGTTCCAGGAAAAGGGTAGCCTTTGCCAGACACTTCAATTGAGACCCAAATAAATCCCTTCCTTTAAGACTTCAGCGAGCATGAGGATCACCTTCAGGGCTTGTTAAAACACAGATTGCTGGGCCCCAGCCCCAGACTTGCTGATTCAGTAGGTCTGATGTGGTACCTGAGAATTACATTACTCACAAGTTCCCAGGTGATGCTGAGGCTGCTGGTCTAGGGACCACACTCTGAGAGTAACTTCTCTAGGATGTGACTAGTTCAAACAAATGTATACTGTCTAGAAACACTATAATAAAATATGTAAGATTCTATACTATGTCTACATATTCCAACCTGTGTATGTGAAAGACAAGACATGAACAAAAGAAGTAAAGTTCACCTTAGAAGAGCTCAAAT